AAATGCTGAAGTGCTTATATAAATGTTAGCATTTATAATACCCTGATTTATCTTTGGAGTAATAAATAGTCCAGAATAGAAGCTCTGTGACTCTGGGCTGTGTTGCCCAGAGTGTGTTTGGGGCTATTAGGGTAGCATCTGCTCTGTTAGGAACTCATACCAGTTTTGATAAGTAGCCACCTCAGGCATGGATTGACAAGACTCTAAGCCATGGTTTGGTATCTAGAAAACCTGGAAGAAGGAGGATCAAAGGAGAGGTAGTGAGTTCTTAGATTTTAAAATCAGAGTATGTGAGGAAGGAAGCATCATTAAGTAGTATTTGTGCTTATGTTAGCAAAGCACCCAGCTGAGTCTCCCTAGTTAGCTAGACTATGGACCAATAATCATTCTTTTTCATAAGGACAGATTAGGGCAGACAAATCCCCTGGCTTGGGGATTTGATAGTAGAGCAGACTCCATGCTTACTTCTTGGCCCTGGATTGGCCATTTCTTTAGGTCTGTGGTACCAGGGACCTATCCATTTTGTTGGCATACATACCTCAGATTGCCTTTTTTATTCACAGTGGAGTTTATTTCAGTAACATTGTTTTTTTCTGATAAAGTTTACTTCATTGGTTTTGTGATTATTTATTGAACACTTAACTATATGCTTAGTAATGTTCTAGTCACTGGACTTAAACCAGTGGACAGACAGACAAAAGCCCCTGCTTTTGTGGAAATTATATCAGAATATATAAGATGATCTTCAAGTGGTAAAAACAAGCTAGGCCTACCCCTAAACATCGGCAGAGTCAAATACAGCTCTTTAAACTGGATTTGTCTTTTAGAGTCCTCTTCCTTTTCAGAAGGATACAGTCAGGTAGGAAAAGCCTCTATGGCATCTGGAAGAAGAAGATGAGTAGTAGTTACATGTAGTTGGGCTCTAGCTTCCTGTGCTTTTCTGATGATTTGTAGAGTGGGATCAGCATATGAGCAAGAGGCAGCCTTTGTAGCAACAAAGATATTTTCAAGGGAAATGTAGCT